CCATTTATGTGAATTCGCAGATGACCACTTGAAGAAACACTGTTACAGGTAAGCAACCTGTTCTTACAGGGATTCAGGGTGGGAGGGTATGCAAGGAGGCATTGTGTCTATTTAATCTTCCCTTTGCATTCTGACCCGATAGTTGTTGGCATGGTCCATAATTTCAGTGTTTTCAAATAGCATTTTATGCCCAGGATGGTTTATAACGTGTTTTGCTGATGATGATTTTTCTGGCTGGCCCAGTCTGCAATGTCTCTCATGGTCTTTGATTCATGTTTGAATGCTGTGTTTTGTGGTCCCTATGTAGACTTATTCATGGCTGTAAGGTATGCGGTAAACTCCTGTGGCTGTGAGAGGATTTCTCCTATCCTTCGCTGAGCTCAGCATTTGCTAGATTTTCTTGGTTGGTCTATAGATCATTTGGAGGTTGTGTTTCCTCATCAGTTTCCCTTTCTGTGACTCGTTTGATGTCTGGTAAAAATACCTTCCCCTTGGGTGGTTGTTTTTCTTCACTCCTGTGGTTTTTTCCAGGTCTGGCAGCTCTTCTGATGTCTGAGCTGGAGTAACCATTAGTCTATAGAGCCCAGTTTACATGCTTCAATTAATCTTCCAGGAAGTGGGCTTCGCAGATCCTTTTGGCGCTGTCTACCTGTGTTTTTATTGTGCTTCTTTTTTGTCCTGGGTGATGGTTGGAATTCTTGTGTAGGTAGCTAACTGTCTGTATGTGCAGGTTTTCTGTATACCATGTGGCCCAATTGTTGGCTCGGCTAGCAGATGACCAGGACATCCAAGAATGGCTATGTTTCTTCCTTTGCTTTTCCCATTGTGAATTGGATGTTTGGGTGGATGTTGTGAATTTCAATGGCTTCCCTGTGCATTCTGATGGTTCAAACACACAGTTAGATCTTCTTCTCCCTGGTTCCAAATTGTGAAAGTGTCATCCACATATCAGAACCATGTTGTAGGCTTTTTTTGATGCTGTTTCCAGGGCTTGCTTTTCAAAGTGTTCCATGTAAAAGTTTGCTGTCATGAAGTTCAGAGGGCTTTGCATGGCTACCTTCTGCTTGTAGAATCCATTGTCCCACTGGAAGTAGCTTGTGGTGAAGCAATGTTCAAACAGGACTGTGATGTCTTCCAGAAAAAATTGTTGGATGAGTGCCATAGTGTCCATTATGGGGACTTTGGTGAACAGGGAGACCACATCAAAGCTGATCAGTCTGTCTCTGAGTTTGAGTTCTAGGTTGTTGATTTTTTTCTATGAAGTGAGCTGAGTGGGGGGTGGGGGTTTGCCCTATATGGGTTTGTAATTGTGTGGCCCAAAATGTGGCCAAGCCATACGTGGGGCATCCAATAGTGCTTACTATGGATTGGAGTGGAATGAAATCCTTGTGGATCTTGGGAAGTCCATACAATCTTGGTGGGAGAGCCT